TAGTGAATAAAAGAGAACTTCACTAAACAAAGTAATCATGTAGCAAAGTACTACGAAGTTCATTTTAATAAGATTCGAATTTTTCAACGACAATAACCTGACTGTAATTAAGTACCTATTCAGTTAAGAATTTCATCTAAGGTACTTGACGTTCTGCCAAGATTTTTGAAGCGAACTTTTACCTAACAATGTATGTTTTGCGGATGAGTTCTTGACTTTATGAAGTCGAATTTAAAAATTATTAACCGAGACTTGTTAACAATGTCAAATATCCAGAGGCTGCTCTGACTGCTGGAGAAACCTTATTTTTATCAAGTTGTTTACTACTTCCTCCGTTCAACTTCTATTAAATTTCTTTTTTTTTATTTCAAGAACAACTCTCAGTCCTTTTGTTATCTATAACAGATAGTATAATTTTTCTTAGAATTAACGATAAAAAGTGGAGTGAGTTTTCGGAATGAGGTTGGTTAAGCAACTTTATTAATAACCTGAAATGAAAATTTAGTTTATTCTGCCTGAATAGTTATTTCTCCTTGCAAATTGATCCACTATTAATAACCCTTAATACCCTTTTTGAAGTTATTTGTAAAATCCGGACCATATGTATATTCGGGCGTTTCCTACGTTTAGGCATATTTAGCCCACTAAACTAGAGATTGATTTCATTAGCGTACATTGAAGCTTATGACGTTACAAAAATCGAAAATAAATAAACCTTTTTAACGGCTTTGCCTTCCTAAAAATGCCAAGATTTTTTCGTTATACACGGCAAATAACAAAGCATATTAATTCATTAAATTGCTTAGGATTTGTTTGTTGCTGAAAATAATGATTAGTGACGAGTAAAACTGGTCTTAGTCTTGGTCTTGCACTCTTGGTTTTTGTTTTGTTGTTGTCACACCCTCGCCGGGAATCGAACCTGCGACCTTTGACTTTACGCGCCAATGCTTAGTGGTCAAAGTATTGGTGTGTAAAACTAAAGGTGAACTTTAACATTAATATTTCAATGTATTCATTTCTTGGAACAAAACATTTTTAGTAGTTGAAAATTTCAGTTTGCTCTACTACATTTTAACACTAAATATAAAAAAAGAAACTTTACCACTGTTTTAAAAAAGGGATCTAAAAGAATGTCCTCGGAGTATGTGTTCTTTGTTCGTATGACTGGATAACGCATGGTTAAAATATAGAGATAAAGTAATTTTTTTCGATAAATTTATGAATTAGAGAAAGGGCCAATTTATGCTTTAGAAGAAGGGTAGGTCAGTTTTCTAGTTTTCTTACTCTCCCAACTAACTATAGACAATTTTTTCTTTAAAATGCATGACAAAAAATTCAGAATTTAAGTCAATTATTGTGTCGGTATAATTTGTGATTAAAAGAATTATTAAAAAAAACGTACGTATTAGATTAAATGAGCAAGACTTAACGCGTAGGGCTAAGACCAAAACCGAGACTATCTCAGTAAGACCAAGACTAGAAGTATTTGAGCAAGACCAAGGCCAAGACCAGTACCAAGACTAGGACAGTCTCGGTTTTGGTCTTGGTTTGCTTCTCACTAATAATGATTAAGAATAAAACGAGTTTGGCATGCAATAAAAGTCCTTTTCGCTGTTACCAACCAGACGTAAACACTGCTATAAGACGTCTTATAACTTTACGTCTATGGCCAACGTTATAACAGCCGTAATATCGGTAACGCTATATAACAGGCGTCCAATTGCGGCACCCTTATTCTAGAAAACCATAGTTTCAGAAGTCGGATATTTTATAGTAGTTTTCGGGAAACGCTTAGGATAGGAAGGAATGAACATGAACTAGTCTGATGTACTAATTCATAATATAAGAATTGGATTTATTAATGGGTATCATAAGCTTCATAAAATATGGACAAATTTTACGGATAAATGGTAGAGATCTTATATTTCTAAGCATGCGGACAGATAACTAAAGGTAGTTACAGAGGGTGAAAGTGACTAATTTTTTTTAATTACATTATCGATAAAGTGCTCAAGATTTTACGGAAATGCAGACCTCGGTTTCCTTAATTGAGTTCCCGAAGGGAGGACACGTAAACTTAAACAAAAAGAGTGGTGGATACAGATGAAGTAGACAAATATTTTTACAAAAAAACATGAAATACCTGCCTTAACTGACTCTCGTTGTTTCAGAAAAAGTATTAGACTAAAGATGTGTGGTTTCGAAAGGACATTCAAAAATGTGAAGTCATTTTATGTAATGGGAATACATATTTTTATCTTTCGGAATAAAAAGAACGGGATGCATAATAGTAAATAGCTTTGAAGCTGTTTTGCTCTTAATTTTCCGTATTCCGAATGAGATTCTTTTGGAAATAATTTTTGTCTACACAACCTCTGTCCGCCACCCCTTTTTTTCCAACTGACAGGTACGCCGTTCCAGAATTCAATTAGGTATATCGAGGTCAAATTTTCTGTAAATTTTTGAGCACTGTATCATAATTACATTTTACGGTAAAATTTTTCTATATTCCTACAGTTAACAAGGGAATGTAACATTTTTATTCGATTTAGGAGCAAACTAAAATTTCCTAGAAAAGCTTGAACACAACACTTGCATTTGTTAATGTTAATAAGTGAGCAGGTTGAAGACTAATGATTAAATGTGAATGTCAATTATTATTATTGATAATCGATACAATAAACAATTTGTTACAAACTAATAGTGAATTATCTAATCCTAAATGATACAGTTACTTATTTTAAAGAATCTCTAACAAATGTTATACTTGTTTAGGCGAAAGAAGTAGTTCTTTTATGTAAATAATAAACTTTTCTTACAAGCACATTATCACAACTTTAAAATTTTATTTTCTGTAGGTACCTATATAAGTATTACATACAATAGATCAAATTTTTAGCATTTACGTGTACTTGTTTTCAAAAATCTTTTATTAAATCAAATCAAAACATTTATTAATCCAATTTCCCACTAGAATGAAATAGAAGTAGACGATAGAGAAATGTATACCATTTATATACACCTACACTAGTAGATCAATAGGTAGTTAAATTTTTGTTATTAAAATACGTACCCCACCATATATTCTTTAAAACATTTAGTACGTATAACATTTCTTTACATATGTTATATATCGTAGTTCTTAAACTGTAATTTTAGCGAATTATAGGTACTATTAGCGCCCTGTTTATACGGGTAGGAAGCAACCATTTCTGCTTACAACTTTTTTGAGTACATAAATAGTTTCTGAAATTATTTATAACAATGTGACGTGTTATGGTTTTCAAAGGAACTCAAGAAAAATACTTATTTAATCAAAAATTTCCTTATAGTTATTACAATGTGCTTTAGCAAATTGCTGAAGATTTTACGGTTTTACAATACAGTTGAATCCTTTTCAGTGCATCAACTTAGCTAAGCTTCAAACTTAAGTGCATAATAAGAAAACTACCCTTGATCTTTAAGGATTACGCCCTTCGTTGCTAATGGATGATATACTATCGTAGTTGACGGAAACATGGTTCATTTTTTAAAAACAAAAAGGAAAGTTAGATAACCGTTACTTATTAATATCTGGGCATTTACAATTATTTTCAAACCTTAAAGAGTTCTGTACAGTAAAAGTTCCTTATTCACGGTTTCCTGATTCGCGGGTGAAAAAATTGCAACCCAGTTCCTGTATTCGCGGCTAAAAATTTCATTATTCGCGGATGCAATCGGTAAACAGAAAAAAAATGTCATTTATTAAGGGGATTGACCGCAATAGACCGCTCGTACCTAGTGTGAATTTTTCCGAAAATATGAGTTTCTATTCTAAACATTGTGATTTAACGTTGCGAGATAAATATCTGATTTTTGTATGGTAACAGACAAAGGTTCACACTAACTCGGCACGTTCTTAGTTTTCAATAATATGGTCTTTAATAGCTTTTACAGGTTCTTAAAGTTGATGCTTCTTGTAGGACACGTATTTTCAATAAAAATTAAGAAATTAAAAAATGGCCTTCGACAGGCTTTAGAACAAAGCTTTATCTATCTTACTACAAAATTTCAAACCTGTATTCCAAACATTAAACTCATGATATCTAGAACAGATAAGCATGTTTTTACTCTACGGCGCGTGCACTACTGAATTCCCTTAATGTATCGGCATATTTTGACTATGTACTGTTGATACGTGCCGAGGCAGCTTTTATAAAAGACGTAACCGGGTGGACTAATTTAAAAATTCAAAACAAGAAAAAATAAAATTAGAAAGAGGAGACTGTGGTAAATATTAACTAAAAATTAAAAGGAATACTCACCCCTAATTACCACAAATAATTTTATTTGAGCGGACACGTGTTTCGCCCATTTCATACGTGGGCATTATCTTAGTCTCGCCTAAAGCTGATTATAACGATTAATTTTAATTGCGAATTTATCAATACATTGATTTTATTTTGATACATATTGGTTTCATTTCGGAACTTTAGAACGTATCCCCTATGATTCCATACTAATTACCATTCCATATCCACGGTTTCTGTATTCGCGGCATATTTATGGAACGTATATCCCGCGAATAAAGAGCTTTTACTGTATTCAATTATGCCCAGTTGAAATTCTATACCGCGGATTCCTATTTTTTTTTATCATTTTAATCGTTTAACATCAAATTTTTATTTCTGATCTATCAACCTATTAGTAAATACAGTTTTTCATAAAATCATTTATTAGATACTTTTAAAAGTATCATCCAAAAGACACGAGAGAGCGCAGATCATTGGGAAGAAAAATACCTTTCTTTATTAAAGTAAGTAAATTAGAAACACCAATCTTGTGGCGATATCTAACTTTATTATCAGTGTATGTACTGTATAATAATAAAATAATTAACATAGTAATTTGGAAATAATAATACGTCCATGCAATCAACCAAAACTACTATTCTATTGGCCATGGCAATCATAAAAAAATAGTACATTGTGGATTTCTAATTGCACAATTTTTTTTTATAGAAACACCATTATGGCTATTGCTACAAATATCACCTATCAAGAACGAAAGGGATATTGTAGTGCTATTCCTTTTAACGTTTCGGGATATAACTGCACTAAAACAACCAATAGAGACGGACGACGCAAAAGGAGGTCAGTATTTTTTTTTCGGTCTTCGGTACATTACAGAATAAGTGTAGCTTTTCCAGCAATAGAATGTATTTACCGCAATCGCATTGTTACGTAGTTAAAGGTAGTTCGACTTTCAATTATGTATCAATTAGTATATTATTACTTTTTATTTTTAGATTTCTATTATCTATAACGTAAAGTAAACTGGCAATTTTATATTTTTACTTTAAATAATCAAATCATTGTCACAATTCTGTAATTTATATAAAAAAATCAACAGGTCAAAAGATTTTAGCAAGATGCATCAAGAAGGTGCCTCGGTACATTTCACATTAATAAAAAAAGGAAATGTATACGTTTAAGTGTATTGAACAGCGCTTAAAATTCATGGAATAAATTTCCATGTTTTTCACTCAAATTATTTAAAGTATCATGTTTAATGTTTGTTTTATAAAAATACATAAAAAATTCAACTTCTAAAAGCATCACCGTTAGTTTTAGTATCGTTGAAATGGAGAATTCGTATTATCATTAAATTGGCAATTATAATTTAACTATCATTTGACTTTAAAGTACACGGTGATTCATTTTTGATTTGATTTGTGGGCCTTTTCTTCCTAAAAAAGCAATTATGAATTTTATTAAAAAAAATTCCCATAGATACAAGCGATAATTTAAACTAAATAAAAAGTTCATATACTGGTCAGTATTCTGTAGAAACCGCCACACGTGAAACGCGATTTCAAATCTTTTGGATCTCGTCACCACGTCGTAGGCAGTTTCGACAGAACACAGACCAACCTGCTGCCTTTGAGAGCGTTTTATGAATAACTATAGTACTTACAGAAAGCGTAATAAGATACAGATGACGTTTACCACACTCTTTGTAGTAATTCCAAAAGAAATTAATACTTAAAACTAGACTTTTAGGCTAAAGTGGATAGTTTGTAGAAATAAAATTATTTTCACCGATGCATTTGGTCAAAACTGAAAAAAAAGTAACACAAAAGTCACTTTTTCGCTAGATTTTTTGGAATTTTTTACCGAAAAGTAGAAATTTTAGACTTTGATTAGCTCTTGGTCCATTGGTCGCAAATTACGTCAGTCATAGTAATTTAAGCATTTTAAAATTCATTATTCTGAAGGTTATTTCAGTTAGTGACTTGCCATGCATAGGCACCCACCTAAGGAAATTATAATCAGCATCCTGTGTTGTCATATTCAAAAGTTTATTTTTGTTATTTTGTAATACAGGGTGGCTTAACGAAAACGAAACATACCTAACATTCGGTGGGAAACTATCTTTAGAATGATGTAAAAGTACGTCAATTTTGTTTTGGGATATCTTTTAGCATGAATTTATATACAATTTTCTACGATTATCGCAATTTATATAGTTTTATTTTGCAGGATTATCAAAATTCGCAAAACTGGCACGTTCAGTGACGAGAAGTCGATCCGTCTTGGTGTCCCAGTTTTCATCCCATCTGCCCAATCTCAAGGATACCACAAAGCAATCTCATTTAGCTCAAGTCAGTATCCATATGAATATTTATACAAATATCGTAAATATTTCAGTATGTTTTGATAATTTTCCGTAATAATAAATACTGTTTTCTCGTAAATTAATTCTTAATTGATAATTACAAGTAACAGCTCTTTAAGAATTAAATTAATATTTTCTGTTAATTGTGAAATATTTCACGCATTTTTAAAATAAAGAAATATTAATTATGCTCTTCGTAAACCTATATGCGATATACTTACGTATTTTGCAACAAAACAAATATGACTAGTTTTGATTGTCCACCCGTTTCATGCAACATTCGGTTTTAAAAACGCAGAAAATCTTATTATTTGTTTTGTAACATTTTATGATTACTGCATCAGTAAAACTTCTAAATATTTTGCGGATAAAAATAAAAACTCGTCTAGCTTTCAGGAATAAGACACTTCTTGATATTAATAACATACTTGAGCGATATAGATCTCAACAAAAATTAATGATGTTACCTTTATTAAGGAAAAGATTCGATAAAAAACTCAACTGCAAATCGAAAATATAGAGATACAGGAATGCAGTTAAATACTTAATACGTTTTTGTGACACCAAATAAAAATTGAGAAGTAAGTTTTATGCAATAGGTTCCGTGATATAAACAGTCAAAAGTTGCGCAGGACATTTATCTTCAAAAAGATTTCTAGACAAAAAAGCTTTTAGATAATAGCTGCAATTTTTCTTTGTTATTGGTATTTTTATCACTGTTTTCACGGTTTCCTACTGAATATGTACAGGGTATAATCTTTTGAAGATAGTAATTACATCACATCTTATTTACCAAAAAGTTAATTATTAATATGTGCCTCCAATATTACGTAATTTCCTTCTTGTTCGAGGACCTCATGAGCTCAACGGGTTATCAGAACTTAATTTCTCTTTTTTTTCTGGCTTAATCGATCGCAACTTTTTCACTCGAGTTTTTAATTTACTTTCTCTACTATGTATCATCAACTTCAACTTAAGGTTTGATTTATAGTCCATCAAAAACTTTCACCTAATCTCCTTAGTTCAGGACCGCATTGTATATCTTGTAGGTGAGTTATAAAAATAAATTTTCGATTATCGGATAACCACAGAATCGAAGCTTTAGAGTAATGAGAGAAGTGAAAAAGAAAAATTACTGCGGCATACAAAAATTACTCCACTCTACGGTATCATTTGTGAAATAACAGCCTTCGCTTCTTTTGTATTTCGTTTTCGCTTTTGTTCTCGGTTTTCATGATACCGCAACCCTATTTCTAAAATCCACTAAGAGCAAGGAATCAAACTAAACGGCATGCCGTTGTAGTAATTTAACGATTTTTGCTGGATTCCTCGTAATTAGTTTGAATACTATACTCAGGGCGCTCCATTACAAAGCAAACAAAGCGAAAAAAATTAAAACGGTTCCTTTTTTCTAGATACCTAGATAAGTATGTATATGTACAATACATATATGTCTATATCCTTCGCAAACAGTTCGCAACGAGATAAAAAGCTTCAAATATCACCAATTCTTGCTTTCGTGCAGCGAAAAAGAAACCGTTTAAAAGGATAACAAATGTTTCGTCGAACAGTTTTAATGGCAGTAGAAACAGTTAAATTTTATTTTGGAAATTATAGTCTATTAAAACCACAGTAGGTATCTTCCAAAATTAATAACTATGCCTTCTTATAGTTATGAAAAAAGAACAAAAATGTTTCTTTTGTTTGAAACACGCCAAGTTGATTTAAAAAAGAATAATTACATGACATGGCGCTGTTAAGGGAAATTTTTCCTAGTGCCTACGTACAGGGTACGCAATCGATTTTTTAAAACGATATAATTATTATTGCCACAATATCTGATGATTGGATCGACACAAACCCTCGAAAAGACGAACGCGTCGTATAATAATATTTGGATATTGGATTATAATTCCGAGAAGGAACCTTCAGATGCTGCAAATGTTTTCCAATTTCACAATCAGATTTAAAAAATGATCCATACGAAATACACGATAACAATATTACATCGGTGACATGCAAATCCAATAACTGTCGTTAGCATTTCGCAGGGAAGTTCTAATTTTCCATCGCTAAAGGTTGTACTTTTTAAACTTTATAAAAATTACAAGCTTTTATCCGCGGCTTCCCTTGCGTTGATGTCCCAAATGCGTGTCAAAGTTCATCGAAAATACAATAATTTGATAAATGGTCCTCAGTAGGATCATCAGGATAAAATTAATGTTCTGATTTTCTAGATTAAACATACACTTTGCGTAAAATGACAGTAAATACTGTACTTTTTTATGGTTCAGATGTAGGGTTCAATTGCCTGCTTTTTCCTTTAAATCTTAATCGGGAAATTTAAATATTAGCAATATTTTATCCAAATCTTCATAAAAGTGCATTCGTATGCAGGTAATTTAGGTGTAAGTTTAGTGTATCGATCCTTAGCAGGAAAATTAGCGACGGTAACACCCCTTCACCCATTCCTCTGTCAGAGTGGAGATTGTGTTTATTTATGAGCTGACACAATTGAAGAAGTAACAATTCGTAATCAAAATCGTCAAGTTCAGCATTTTTTAATCGTAAATATCAGCGTAAGGGTTTTTTAATATATGTACACACATTTTGTAGCAGTAACTATATATAATGTAAATAAATATTACTAAGTGCAGTTACCCGTGTTCTTCCTCATAGAAGTAGATTATTTGCAGTTAAACTCCGATCATAAAATTTGTGTGCTTCTTCATAGGAGAAAGAAGTGACGCGGCAGCGCAAACAAATAAAAGCATTTATCGAGATGAAAAGAAATTTATCTATCCCTCGGGAACAGCACCCTATGTTCTTTTCTGTACCTTAGACAATGTATGTCAAAAATTTCATCATAAAAAAACAAACTTACATTCGCATTTATCATATTAGCTAGGATTAAATTTTAAAATTAAAGAGTAGAAAACTACATTTTGGAACGAAGCTGCTTATCGTAGATTACGGCGCCAAGGAGTTCACCAACAAAAATCAGTGTTTCCATATGAATTTATTTAGATTCCCTAGTTTTTTTACCGAAATTTCCATATATTTTCCCGGATATTCTTATACCGAAAAAAGAATAGTTAAACAAAAAAAAATCATTTTACTCAAAAAGGAAGACCTTTTTTTCATTCGTTACTTACAATTATTAAAATATAAATTTTCAAAATGGAAGTAACCTTTAAATAACAGGAAACCATTTGGCAAAAATATTAAATTACACGATTAGTTAAATAAAAATCCTTTTTCCTCTATGCTGGTTTTAAATGCCCCAGGTAGGTACCTATAGGGAAATTTTTTAGGTTAGGCAATGTTGGTCAAAAATTGGCCATCTTTTATATAAGGTCCCAGACTTGGCTTAGTTTATTCGGTTTTCGTTTTGATCTTGCTGAACTCTCAGTCTTGGTCTTCGTTCTGCGTATTAAGTCTTAGTCTTGTCCGAAAAGAAATAAGTTTGTCTCTATATGTAAACCATGTGATATTCAGACATAAGAACAAAGAGCACTTGCTTCGAGGACATTCGTGTTCATTCAAGCAGTAGTAAAGTTTCTTTTTTTATAGATATATTTAATGTTAAAATCTAATAAAACAAACTGAAAATTTCTAATTTACTAAAAATGTTTTGTTCCAACAAACAAAAGCATACATTAAAGTTGCTTTAAATAGTTTAACTCATAAATCTAATAGTAATAATGTTTCATTTAGTCTTGCGTATTTGGTCTTATTATTCCGTCTTGGTTTTAGTCTCGGTCTTCCTAGTATAAAGACAGTCTTGGTTCTAGTCTTAATCTAACGGAAATGCAAGACCAAAAACCAGTCTTATTCATTACTACAAGAAAACGACAATGTTAATTCTATAATCGCTATGGTGCCACTTCTGTATTTTTTTACTTTAATGTAACAATCGTTGCACTATGAAATCTTAGGTAATTTTTCAAAAGTAAAATATTAAAATTTTAATGTAAATGTAAATGTAAAGTGTAGTAAAGTAATGGAATGTGTCTAACTTTTAAATGCAACCACAAAGCTTTTGTTATAGGTACTTCAAAAACGTATAGCACATACCTAAGTCTAATTTCGACATTTTGCGCTTTTTCCGTAGTAATTAGAAATAACTGGCAAGCTGAAAGTGAACAAAACTGTAAACAGAACGGCAATTTGATCCAAAAGGTTTAACGAATACGGAAATTGACAAAATTGATGATAACAGAACAAAGTTTCGTAGAAACGTCCACCGCCTCGACATCTGAATAAAATTGCTTCTGTTTTTAATTAATACACCAAGGTTTAATTAAATTTCACCGTTAGCGGGATATTTAACAAATTTTTACAGAAATTGAGATCTCATGTTTCTGTAAAATATACTTTCTCCGTTGAAATTGGTAAAAAGGTTTCTATTCAGATACCTTCAACTACTTATTTTATTTTTATAATATCAACCTAGTATTTGTTATCTTTTCTATAATTCATTACACAATATTATCCGTTTAACGTATCTTTTACCCTTTTATGCAGGATAAACAATAAATCTGCTTAACTTCCACTATTTAATTTTAAATTCTTGATAATTGAAGGTAAAAGATATGAGATACCGCAAATGATATTTTCAAGTATTTTGTAATTAAATACGCAAAAGCAGTTAAGCTGAACTAACATTTATCTATCCGAGCAGCATGACCTAATGGTCCAGATTACAGTTTAGCATTCTGGAGTTTGATTTCGGGCACGCCTGCCTAGATCCAAGTCATTCTGTGGTTAAATAACGTTTTACATCTTTCTGTGTTCAATTCGTTTGTCTCACCTATCTCTTCCTAGGTATTATCCGTTAATTCTTACGATTCCTAAAGGAAATCTGAAGAGGGCCTTATGCCGTACTCTCCAGCTTTGCACCAGAGTGACTGAGGGTCGGAAGGATTGGCGGTCCACTGGTATTAAGGTGGTAGGAATGAAACATGTAAAAGTTGTTTTCTATTT